ACCTATGCTGGACCAGAGCTTTCTGTCTTCATTTGTTTCAATTTTCATGTTTTTTTAATTAAATAAATAAATAATTAATAAAACAATAATTTAAAAAGAATTACCCTTTTTTGTGCTGCTCTATTTAAACGTTTTGCATACAAAAAAGGTTGTCCCTATGCTTATTAAATTATCTAGAATTATTTATTTTGGAGTGTTTTAATTGTTAATATGTGGATATTTTTCACTGCATTATTTTTGTTTATTCAAGATGTTAAAATAATGCATAAAATAACATTTTTAAATTATATTTTACATTATTTGATTCTGGATGCAACATTTGGGCGTTTTTAGTTTGTGTATTTATTTGATTAAACTGTTGTAAAAGCATCTAAAAACCTACATATAATAAAATAATAATAATAATAATAATAATAATAATAATAATAATAATAATAATAATAATATAACTACCGAATAGCTTTAGTTTCTTTTACAATTAATGTGAAAGGTAAATGTCCTATTTTTACATTTTTCTCCATTTATTGAACATTTTGTGTAAAGTCCGTCCCTCATCATTAACTAACCACTGATGATGATGATGATGATGATGATGATGATGATGATGATGATGATGATGATGATGGGGATGATGATGATGATGATGATGAGGATGATGATGATGGGGATGAGGATGAGGATGATGATGATGGGGATGAGGANGATGAGGATGATGATGATGATGATGGGGATGATGATGATGATGAGGATGATTAGGATGATGATGAGGATGATTAGGATGATGATGAGGATGATGAGGATGATGAGGATGATGATGAGGATGATGAGGATGATGAAGATGATGATTAGGATGATGAGGAGGGTGATGATGAGGATGAGGATGATGATGAGGATGATGATGATGATGAGGATGAGGATGATGATGATGATGATGATGAGGAAGATGCCATGAAGCTTCCAGAGCTTTAAAGAAGAGCGGAGCCGCAAAGGGCAGCGCGCGGAGCCACCTGCTCCCTCACCTGCCGCTGTTGGAGTTTAGATTAAAAAAAGAAGGAGAGAAAAAAGACTGGAGGCGTCTAATCAACAATTGTCAGCGCCTCGGAGGATGACAACAGGCTTGATGATCAACAACTTGAAGCCGAGATAAATGGCTGCTGGGAGGCAGAGCAGCAGCAGTCCTGCCTCTCTCCCCTCCCAGCCTCATTGTTTACTTTCTGAATCACTGTAAGCAAATGCCATCTGTTTCCCTCGCCGCTGTCATCTGCACCTTAATTACCTAGCCAACAGGCTAATACAGACGATATTAAAACTACATCTTTTTGACATTCAAAGTAATTATCTGGACGGCCGTGGATCTCGCTCCGATGAAAACTGAGCTTTTTTTATGCGAGAGAAAGTTGCAAAAGGATGAAAAAAAACAGGCCTCATACAGAGGTGTATTTTTAGATGTGAAATTTAAAAAAACAACTGAAGGTTGAAATCTTTCTTGGTTTGAATGGACGAGCAAAGAAAACAAGAGGATCAGCTTTTTCTGTGACAATGCTGAAGGAGATGAAACTGAGTTGGTAAAGAGAAGCTGAAAGCTAAAAGGATCAAAATTCTTTAAGCTTAAAGTATCAAAATGTCAGCTAAAGGCTAAAAGTAACAAAACACTAGCTTAAAGTGGCAAGGGATAATTAATACTTGCAAAACATAGCAAAATTAAATAGGCAAAAAGCTTTTATCTAAAACTTAAAATAGAAAACACAACAAAAGGTAACTAAAAGCAACAAAAAAATAAATAAATGATAAAAAAAAGGCCAAAAGTAGCAAGACACTATAGCTAAAAGCAGCAAAGGAAACTTGCAAATGCAGCAAAAGATTCACTGAATGTACAGGAAAAAGCTAAGAAATAAATGTAGCAAAGGCATACTGAAAACATAAAATTGCAAAAATGCAAGCTAAAAGTAACAAATGATAACTAAATGCTATAAGTAGCAAAACACTAGCTAAAGGTGGCAAAAGGCTAACTATAAAGCTAAGAGCTAAATTATAGCAAAAGCACATCTAGAACTGAAAAGAGCAAAAACAAGCTAAAACAAGCAAAATGCCAGCTAAAAGCAGAAAGTCATTAGCTAAAAAGAGTAGCAAAAGGTTAACTGAATGTAAGAAAGAAGAGCTAAAATTTTGCTTGAACATAGCATATCTAAAACTGAAAATAGTTACAAAAATAAGCTAAAAGTAGCAAGGTGCTAAAAGGCTAAAAGCAGCAATGCGCAAGCTAAAAGGCAAGACTATTTTAAAGTTGGACAAAGTATCAACTGAATGTAGGAAAAAGCTATAAGCTACATTTTTGCAAAAGGATATCTAAAACTTCAAATAACAAAAACTAAAAGCAGCAGACTATAGCAAAAGTTGGCAATAATGTTTAAAAGTAGCTAAAAATGTTTTACTTCTCAAGCTGCTGCCGCCGCGACCCAACTGTGGAACAAGTGGAAGACAATGAATGGATGTAGAAATAGCTAACTGAAAAATCAAAGAGCTAAATTTTAGGATGAAAACAGCAAACATACAAGCTAAAAGTATAGCAAAATGTAAGCTAAAAGTAGAAAACGCCAGCTGAAAGTCACAAATTGCTAGCTAAAATGACAAGGTTATTTAATGTTGCAAAAAGTAGCAAAGGGCTAAATGAATGTAGAAAAAGCTAAGAGCTACATTTTAGCAAAAGCATCTAAAACCAAAAATAGCGAAAACACAAGCTAAAAGTAGCAAAGGATAAATAAACACTAAATGTAGCAAAACACTAGCTAAAAGCTAAAAGTTACAAAATGCTAAAGCACTAGCTAAAAGTTGCAAAAGCTATTTTTGCAAAAATGTAGCAAAGGGCTAACTGACTGTATGAACTAGATTTTAGCAAAGAATATCTAAAACCTAAAATAGCTAAACACAAGCTAAAAGTAGCAAATGGTAATCAAACACTAGTAAAATGCATCTAATGGTAACAAAAAAAAAAAAACAACCTAAAAGCAACAAAGGAGCACAGAGGTCCATGCAAAAGAAAACCTAAAATAGCAAAAACACAAGCCCCTCCACAGAATGAGCTGAAGTTTGTTAATACTAAATAATCCATAGATTGTAAAAATAAAATAAAAACCTACAGAAACACAAAAAGGTAGAAATAGCACGACTCAATACTCACGTATACTTGACTTGTTAGGTTTTATGGACAAAGTGAATTAAATAACACCAGTTTAATTTTTGGAGTTTAAATTGATCCTAAATGAAAGTTCATGTCTGAGAATGATGCATTATGACAGGGATTAGGGATTATTCTTCTTGGCCCAATTAAAACTGTCTCCCCGTGCAATTAAAAATGACTGTGAGCACTTTAGGAAACCCAACATTCTTTGAAGCACTTCATTAGGCCTGTGCATCCAAAAAAAAAAAAAAAAAAAATCTGGGCGATGCTTTCATTTCTTTCACACACGAGTGGGGTTTTAACACCCTTTTTAGGATCACAACAAAGGCCATGCTTGACCCAACATATGTAGCAGCATGTTTCCGCTGCCCCCCCAGCTCCCCCTGCACCGCAGCGTGGCCTCTCCCACTGCCGCCCTGCAGCCCGTCCGGGCCCGGGTCCCCTCCCGTGCGCTCTCCCGCCGCTGCAGCCGGGGCTCCTCCACACAGAGGCAGAGGTTAGAGTAGCAGTTAGACAAGGGGGCCGTGGAGAAAAGGAGCGGACAGGGAAGGGAGGCGGTGGCGTTGGGGAGGGCGGTTGGTTCACTCAAGTATTTACACGCTTTGACGGCCACACCGCAGGATTGGGCCCCCGCACGCCCGCCGAGACAAGAGGGGCTGTTAACCTGCCGCCTCGCAGCGGCTCCACTGCGCCGGGGACATGGATCAGGAGAAACGCATTCCTTCAAAAGGCACGACACTCAGGGGAGCAGAGGCAAAACAAATGCAGAGCTCGAAATGTGAAGGCTTTAAAACAGCACTCGCCATTTATTCTAGAGTCTCATTTACCTGCAACTGTTTAATCTGTGCTGTATGATATCTCAGATTAGATCATTTCATGTGGAAAAAAAAAGCAGCATTTGCTCCAAAGGTCAGGTCCAAAAGGCCAAACAGGCGCACCCAGCCTGCTAAAGTCAAACATATTAAAGGATCGTAAAAAAAAGGGCGATGATGATGAAGAGGCACTTGAGTCTGAAGAGGAGCACAGAGGTCCCTCCAGCATCCCCCCCTCAGCTGCTAGAATAACACTTATTTGTAAATGGGGGGGATAACCCCTCAGCGGCGTATGAATATTTCAAAGATTTGAAGGATCTGTGTGTCTGCCAAAGCTGTTGGCCAGCACTCAGGAAGATCTCTCTCTCTCTCCTTTTTCCTCCCACTGTCTCACACACACACACTCACACTCACACACACACACACACACACACACACACACACACGAACACAAAAATACGTTTTTCTGCCCCCGAGGTAGGTTGGCAGGGATTATCTTTGTTTAATGAATGGGCTACAAGTATTCATCAACACGGCGAGATTATTGGGCTCTCTGGCTCCCCATTCTGC